GACGCGCGACCACAGATAAGTCACTCAGGTAAGCGATTCAATCAAGGTTATGATCCTATATTTATCCGCTTGAAACTTGCGCTACTACCAGTGCTAAGTTCGTAAACGCTTTAATATTTATACGCTGTGCGCCCTGAGCCCTCTGTGCGCCTTTTGTCCAAGCTCCAAGACGTACACTCCCGCCGAAAAAATATCACTGTATGATACCACTGCTCTAAGGAGCTGACCGACCTGTGTATGCCTACACGCAGCTTTAGCACGTTTGCTATCATCCAGAGGACAGGCAGTCGACCACAGTGAGCGTGAGTTGGAGAGAACTGGGAGGGGCCGGACTTTTATCCTTCTTAACTTTCTTCACTGAAGTTTAAGACGGCATGAGTCCTGGGCGGAATGGCCAGAGCAGCTAAGAGGTAATGTGTGCCATACAGAGATTAGAGTAATAGAAACTCCTTAGCCCATGTGAGCGCTAGCGCTCTGCCATGATGACGGCAAGCTAGCACGCTACGACGAGTAAACATCTTATAAAACGGGGTGAATGACGACGGAGCGTAAAAACAAAATAGACACTACCTCGCTACAGCAGTTCATTGGCCGTTGCGCATGCCACAGCGCTAAGAATTAGGTACCACTCAAACGCAGCATTTTCGCGGATGAGGATGACGTCGTCGGCTCTGTCCGCAACACAATTGAACGTGCCTTGGCCGACCGCATGCGTGGAGGGTGGAGGGTTGCAATAAGACGCAGGCGCGTGCGGAGGAGCTTAGGAGCGGTCACGTAGGAATACAGATAGCAAATACATAGCGGGGGAGTGACAACATGAGAAGGCGAATGCATCCAAGGCCAGAAACCTCTAGTCGATAACCCCAAGGTGATCTTCTTTGATAGTACCAATCGCGAACTATCGGGGGGGCAGGGAATGTGTTCAACCGTGAGTCAGTTTTCCTGCATTCTCGGGAGGAACACATGCAGGAACGAAGGATATGTACGTACAATCTCCGTCGCGTCAACGCGCGTTCCGACGATCTTCAGACGTACTCTCGTATTTTTCTCGATGATCTAGGGATGCGCCATGTGTACATGTGCAGCTTTAGCTGCGCACCACTTACCTGGTCTTCGGATGCGAATGAGGGTGGGTTGGAATTCGGGTCGAACTTTAGGTCTGGATGAATGAGCTAGAAGTTCCAGGGGTGTATCCACGTCAAACCGAGCGTCTTCCTCAAGCCCTTGGAGGCTGCTGCAAACGCGCACTTACCTGGTGCGAGACGAACACGTTCAGGGGTCCGACATCGGCAAAGAAACCCATCTACGCGACGTCCCAAGCTCAAAACGGTCCACTCGCGACCAGCACGTGTAGACGCACCTTCGTGACGTTGTTCACAACTCCGTCCACGACCTGGCCCTTGAATGGCTTGAAGACGATGGCACGGTAGCGCGTCACGAACTCCGCCTGTCCACTGCCGGACAGCACCATGCCCTTCCCAATGTCCAGGATAGACACTACCGCAATAATGTACCCGAATTCTCCCGAACAAGTGCCCTCAACGTCCGAGTAGAGCTTCGACTCGAGGAAGTTCAGCATCCGAGGACCGAAGTAAGATGGATGCAAGAGAATCGTATGCGAAAGCTCTTTCTGCGAACGGTTAGACGCTTAACGATTGATAGGATTGGCTTTACACCATACAATGAAGAACATTCTGGCCGTGCGTAGCCTCGCGGACGGCGTAGCAATACGCGGTCGGGATTAGGCAGTTGGCGCAGGAGGCAAGAGGCAAACGCGCACAAGACGTGAAGAGCTTCCAAGCCAACTCGTGATTTAACACAGCGATATAAATCGTACTTTATTAAAGATACTATGGGCCGACTAGCTCAGTTGGTTAGAGCGTGGTGCTAATAACGCCAAGGTCGTCGGTTCGATCCCGGCGTTGGCCATTTTGTTCTCTTCCCCTTTATCGTGATCTGCAATGACACCGCGTGGTTTGAACTTTGAAAGATCATCAATCATCACTCCTTACGCTCTACTCCAGTCGACGATAGTAAAAACATTCATGTAGCCCCCAACGGTCGGCCAATCATGATATGAAATTTCCACTCTACAAGGCATCTAGTTTGAACAAAGGCAACCGAATGTTACTCTCGCTCGCTCGCGTTCGAACGCTGGTGTAAATTACCCCACATGCATCCAGACCTATTAGTGAGGTGAGTCGTGAACGCTAGATATCTACTTAGAATGCGTGCAATAAGTCATAAAATCGATGCCAGACTCGGGTCTATTACGATGAAATAATTGTCTTTGCTCTATTACTGGGCCCTGGTCTTTAGCCTAAACTCCTCCGAAAATGGGTACGTCGTATAGCCCTTCTCAGTCTTCGCCGCGAAGAACGTGGCAAACTCGGGCTCGTTGAGAGGGAGGTCGTGACGCAAGCGGAATGGCAGATCGGGCTATAGAGTTGACGAAAGCAATGAGCGAAGTGGTCACACGACAATTTACAAGGATCGTACGTTTGCAAGGAAAGGTCGGCCGAAGCCAACGAGCTGTCCCGTCTCCTCAGCGACCTTGAGGGCAGAAGCACGATCGTACCCCCCTGTGGTGATGACCGGGCGGGGAGTCCACAGCTTGTAGATGAAGTCTTCATCCTAAAAGTATGTCAATGTTATTAGCGCACTAGCATGAGCCCTCTGCACTAACCTCTGGATTCTCTGGCCCCTTGCTGACCGGCCCAGCCGACGTGACAGAGTGAATGAATGCGAGATCAGGGTACTTCTGCTTGAGTTGCTCCACCAAGTATGTAAACTGCGCTTCCACGTTGTCCATACGCATATCTGTATGGCACATTCACGTGTGAGAGGCCTGGACAAAGCATTGACGATTCCGCGCGCATATCGGACAGACCTTGGTAAGTGTTCCAGGGGCTTAGGCGGATGGCGGTCTTGTTCTGGCCGACGCCAGCAACGATAGCGTCGACTACCTCGAGCGCGAATCGGGCACGGTTCTCAATTGAGCCTCCATACTCATCCGTCCGTTTGTTGGAGACGTCTTGAAGGAACTGGTCAACGAGATAGCCGTTGGCACCGTGGATCTCAACACCGTCGAAACCGGCTTTATGAACCGCGTTAGCAGCTGCGGTGCCATACCACTCAACGTACTGCCTGATCTCTGCATATTCGAAAGGGATGAGATCTTTAAGTCCAACCCAAGTGTGGTGATATAAACTCACCGTCCTTGGTCAGCTCCCGGGGGACATCCTCGGGGCTCGTGCTCAGCGCAATCGGGGACGCAGAGACATGCGGATAATCTGGGTTTTCTTGGTGCAACATTGCAAGACGTGCGGTGCGACCCAACGCCCAAAGTTGGAGGAAAATGTAAGATCCCTCGGCGTGTACCGCATCCGTGATCTATACGGTAGTGCGCGAAAAATCTTATGAGTCCATGCGTGTGATGCTACGTATATGTGCTTACCTTCTTCCACGCGGCGACCTGATCATCGTTCCAAATGCCGGGTACGTTAGGCATACCCCCCGCCTGGGGGGAGATGAAGGCGGCTTCGGTAATGAGGAGAGTACCCGGCACGCTGGCGCGCTGCCCGTAGTACTCAACGCCCATTGGCGTATGCACATGGGCATCGTCGGCGCGGTAGCGCGTCATGGGCGCAAGCACGACGCGATGAGCAAGCTGCACGTCGCCCACGCGGATGGGCTGGAAGAGGGCCGGGGTATTGGTGGAGGACATGTTCCTGAGCGGGTAGGTTAGAGAAGATCTGAGTGACCAGAGAAACGGCGCGCCTACCTTTTATATGGCAGGCCCAACTTGTGCCAATGGGTGCGCTGAGAACCGTGACCTGCGAGACCGACAGTACGCAAGGTCGGGGTTGGCACACGAAGCCTGAACAACATAGCCACTGCCAACTTTGCGGATACCCAAGACGGTTGGTTGACGCATCCGACTTAGCATCGGCTTATGAACCGAACGGAAGTGACGATCGCGCCGATGCCTCTACCGCCGCGTGTGACGTGGTTGAACGGCCGCGGCCGAGGGCTTGCACGAGGTCCAAGCCGCGGACTCGGATCCTACCATATCCCGAGCCGCCGGGATTCTACCTTAGGTAGGATGGTATAGGGTGGTCAAATTTCCGAAGCCTGAGGACAGCCTAGCGTGAATGCTCTGTGAATGGGAACCTTCAGTCAATAGTGTGGAGTGTCTATGAGCACACAACAAAGAGCTTGGACTAGTAAATCGACATTTCCGGAATTCAGATTGCTCACAAGTGGCAAGGATGTCCGAGTTGGAGCCTTGACCGGCGTGCAGTCGTTGGGCATTCAAGCGCTCAGTTAGCACCGCCTTACGTAGTACAGTGTAGCCCCTTTTTTGGAAATTCAAGTTAGCGTCGACCAGTACTAGTTAGACCTTTTACCGTACCGTTACCATATCCAAGTGGATTAATGCCTACATTGCTGTTCCTCTGATTTTACACTGGGACTGTGGTACTAGCTTTTTGATTACTTGATACATCTACGTGGCGATTGCTGGCAGGCGACGGCCTGCGGCGTATGGCCGATGTCGGGAATCTCGCCCTGGCAGGGCGCCGCCAACAAGGAGGATCCCGAGGGGACGGGATTTGTTCTCAGATAGCCCGGTTCCGACCATTTCCACAGCAGACAAACCAAGATTGGATAAACGCCAATTGCTGCGTGAGCCTAGGTAAACATTGTGACTTACACCTCTCTTGCGGATGTGTAATGGGAAAGTTGTTATGCTGCTGCCAACTCGGACACACAATCATATCGTCGACTGGATTTGAAGTATAAATAGTCAAACTCATGGACGATGCTTATGATTGAAACGGTATGCATATATACTGGTGCCCGGCTAGCAAGTACTGATTTATAGGACGGTCGCGTGTATTCCGTACTACGATAATTGTTACTTACCCGTGAAAGTCTGACTGACCGTCGAGGCGTGTCAGCCGTCTCTATATTTTTGCCGCATAGAATGGTAGAACATCTCTCTGTTAGTGTATCGGTTAGTACACGCGCCTGTCATTTCGTTGGCCGCGCGAAAGCGGGGTTCGACTCCCCGACAGAGAGTATATGTTTTTCTACTCGATAGCGATGAAAGCGGCTAACCGTCGCGCCTTCGTATTGATGTCCAGACGGAAACGCTTCAAAAGAGCAACCAGGCACTTGCGCATTGTCCGTGTGCGTAAACTAATGGTAATTCAATGGTATGCAATACTACTACGTATGTATAGCGTCCTGACAGAGAGATAGAGCATTGCGCGATCGTCTCCGCGAAGCATCGGAACAGTCTAATGATACAACGTCCATAGCACTCCTTGTACGTCGGGGAACCCGGAATCCAACAGGCCGCACCCATTGACACAGCGTCGTTCGTCGTCGTCATCGTCATCTGCGCCACTCCGTGGCAGCGAGTGCGGGCGCGTCTTAGAGGAGCATCACGCCTCCGAGAACGCCGGAGAGGAGGACCGCAGCCCACGCGCCGAGCGCGGATACTACGGTGCCAGGCAGAGCACCGTTCGCGCTCGACGAGCGATCCGTACCCGTGCCCGCAGACGACCCGCTGATGGTCGCGGCAACGGCACCGACGGTCGGTGAAGGCGCGGACCCGAGCTTGCCGTTCATCGCGGTCGCGGTGTCGGAGAGCGTCGCGAAGCCAACGGAAGCGGGGTTGGAACGGAAGACGGTGTAGACGTTCTTCAGGAAGGTGTCGCCGACGATCCACGCGGGCGCGCTAGTGCCGGAGGTGTTGAGCGCGAAGAACGCACCGACGCACGTGCCTTGGCCAACCTGCTCGAGGAGGAAGTCGGCTGTGGAGATAGGCCAGGAGATGCTGCTGGAGCCGAACCGCATCGTGACGTTAACGTCGGTGCTGCAGGCTAGGCACGGGATACGTCAGTGAACATTTCATTGGCAGCTCTACACGTGTACGACTTACGATAGGTCCAGTAGCCAGAGTTGCTCCCAGTGAGCGCCTCGCTGCCTGGGATCTGAGCGTACAAGGCAGAGACAATGCTCTCGGGGCCGCCAACGAGCGTAGTGCCAGTGTCAATAGCGGCGTACGCCGCTGACCCAGAACCTACAGACACGGAGTTCCCATTGACAGTGAGGGCTGAAGGCGCAGCAATGAGCTCATGCCGGAGGACCATGCCGAATAAACTTACCGCTCAGCTGCTGAATCCAGTAGCCTTCCTGTCCGTCCGGGATATCCTGGTAGTCGATGTCGCCCGTGAACAATGAAGAGTTCACGGCGCCAAGGTTGAAGGTTCCTCCGGGCTCCAGAGTCTGCGCGTTGTTGACGTCCACAAAGCGCGTCAACTGAAACGCCATGAGAGGCGAGTCCAACGTGCCGTCAGTCTCTGCCAGTTGTTGCCAGAACGGCGTTGCTCCTGAAGCAGCAATGCTCTTGAAACCCAAACCCATCAACCCCGAGACCGGGGCGTTCAACAGGTTTTGCGACACTTGTGTAACAACACCTGTTGTAGAACAGTAGAACAGTCAGCCCCAGCGTGATCCTGAATAATGACTGAAAGATATACCGAAGACCTGCGAATCAACTTCGAATCCAGCGAACTGGACGACATCCTTGCCCAAAGTTCCACGTGCAGCACCCGAACCGTAACTTATTGAGAAGCTGGTGTTGAGATTGGTGAACGACGAAGAGTTGGCGGAGTCGAATGTCGGAATCCCGTCTGATGTCGTCGATACGCCGTCTGAGGCAGCGAGCCAGAGATCAGAGGATCCGGTGTCGAGGATGACATTGTATGACATTGCGGGCGTGCCTACAGCTATTGAGCCATAGAAACTCGAGTCGGCATTCTGGTTTGTGAGACTGCCGGATGGTCAGCGGTCATCGTGTGTGCACGGGGACGAAAGAATAGGAGCAGGGGCTCGCAAAGCATCTGCGAAAGTGTAGAGAGTAGACCACGTACAGGTTGAGACCGCTCGCCCGTTTCTTCTGTGAACTACTGCTATACTTGGCCTCGAGAATCTCCTTTTGGCTCTTCAGCCACGACGAGAATTCTGTCGCATTGCGTTGAGTTCGACTCCTGCGGAGTAGTGGGATGGAGCGAGGGATGGGCGAGGTGGATGGGGAAGGCGCAGCAAGAACGTAGTCATTCGCGATAGAGAGTAGGCATGAGACGGCGAGCGAGTATGGGAGGAGATGCATGACTGTGGTGGGTCGTGGGAGGACGTGCAAGGAGATGAGAAGAGAGAAAGAGGGGAGGGGGGGAAACACGGGCGGGTCGGAGTGAGCGGAAGGGGCTGAAGTAGGAAAACGGGAGGAGCTGCGCACAGCGCGGGGCCAAGGATGATGATGCTCCGATGAGTAATCCGACACGCAGAAACGTCCAAGTGGGTGCGGTGGATATCCGCGAGGCGAGTCCGAGAGGCTGTGAACGTAGTCGATGCAAGCAAGAGCAAGGAACGGTGGGCGTGTCCAGCACGACGACGAGCAGGACGAACGACGGCGGCGAGGAGGAGACCGTGGACCGTGGACGACGGCGCAAGAACAAAGACAGCCACCGCTGCGCCGCGTCTCGGCTAACGACCCCCCGGCGCTAGCATGACGATCCGCAGCCACTACAGGCGCCCGTGCCAAGCCAGCGTTTATCCGCCCTTCGTGCCTTGCCGCCCGCCTTCTCCCCCACCCGAGCCAGGGCACGCAGGGGCACGCTGGGCACGCTCTTTTCTCTCGTCCTGCCGTTCCAAGCTTGTTGGACTAAGTCCTTCCTCTGCCACGCTACGCCCGCATACGGCCTATGTCACTTGTTGTTCTTTGCCTACCTTGACAATCCTGGCCTCTCAACCATTCCCAACTCCTGCTGCGACGACATCATTGCTGTGCCGCCCGGTGTTCCCGCACTTTAATTTAGCACATATCACCAGCGTCGTCTTGAGCTCTCCTCGTCCAATGGAATCATCGAATATCGGGGTTCGTGCGCCTTGGTCTATACAATATCGTCAAGTCGCTCCGGGAAGCTGTGGCAGGGGATGAACAGGTCGCGCGAGTACATCCGCCAGCTTGGCAATCTGGCGAGGTACATTAGCCCATCTTCCCTCGCGCTGTTATGTGGCGTCCTTGTGCGTTTCAGACCGCTTGAATCACCGAGGTTTACCGCGTCGATCCCTTCAGGCCGCTCGCATGTATGCGCTAAGCACTCAGCGTCGTCTTGGTTCTCTGGGTATGCAGAACCCAAGGACTCCGGCGTCCCCGACCGCCTCTCAGCCGACTAGGCTTCGTGACAACGAGGGGTCGCCAGAAGCTGGCTGGCTTCACTCGCGAGCTCTCTTTTCTCTTGTCTAGGAAAACCCATCTCGACGTGGAATGGACCGCTATCCACCTATGGCCGCGGTCCTTGCAATCTGGGGCAGGCCGACACTTCGCGCGACGAGCGCGCCAGGCGGGCTGCATGCGGACGCCCGGCGATCGGCCCAGCCTGCGCAGCGGCCCGCCAAGTTTAGAGATCTGCAGACTGCAGGTCGCAAGCGGCACAGTCTCTCGGGGCCTCAGAGGGCCTCGGATGTAACCTGCTGTGCTCCCAATTTCTCGACACGGTCAATCTTACAGTCGTTTGCAAAAGAAACTGCAGTGTCGCGCGTTGCGAAAAGTTATTTGCACCTATTTGCTGATTCCAAATAAAACCCGATATAGTAAGCAAACGGCGTCTGATCAAGAGATGGCTATAACGAATGCAGATTCGTCGCATACAACCCATGTCCCAGCGGTACTCATTACCTACATAGCGTAGTTTTTATACCCAATGGATGTCGAAAGATCATTCGTTAGCTGCATATCTGGGGAAATACAAAGTGTAGTAGGTAACAGCGGCGAGGTCCGCTCGTGGAAATCTCTTGATCAGACGCTGGCAGCCTACTATATCGGGCTTTCTTTGGCATCAGCAAATAGGTGTAAATAACTTTTCGCGACGTGCGACACTGCAGTTTCTTTTGCAAACCACTGTAGACTGCGGGCTGTTCGGTCAGCGGGGTCAGTACCGGGACACATAAGTTCGATCGTCCAACTGCGCCGGCTCTTGTACCGATATTCGGACACATTCCTTCTCCCTTCGAGGCCCCGTACGACGTGCGTGAAACCGAGTCAGTCTACTCTCTGGGCTCGCCGACGGAATGGCCGCTCTGTCAGTGTCCATGGGTGTACGGCGTGCTCATTCGGGCCGTTATACCATTCGCAGGGCATGTCAAGCTGCTTATAATTTTTTGGATGGTTCAAAGCGGCGAAGAGCATACCCATGCGATGAAGGCCAAAACACCTACCTTGAGGAGGGACTCATGTACGTACGTGTTCGTAAACCCTAAAACTACGCTGCGCGCGAAGTGGCGATAACGCTCCCGCAGTATTATGTGTCGATGAACCTTCAACGAGCTGTGCAATACGACAGTGCGTACTCGCACTGCATACGGCCAGCTGGCCTCATTTCCAAAGACCGCGAATATACTTGGTAGATGGAAAGCGGTAGTACGTACGGTGCCAAGTTTCGCCTCACACGTAGCTGTATGCCGCTGTAACCAAGTGGTTCGCACAGCAACTTGACGCAGTGGAAGCGTGCAGGGCTCATAACCCTGAAGTCCCTGGATCGAAACCAGGAGTTGCTATTTTATTCAATGTTTCAAAAGAATCATCTTTGCCATCCTAACCCATATGCATGTGCACATAGCCAGGTCGACCTTTGGTGCGCTTACCGTTTCAAATTTACATCGCATTCAGCTGCAAGGATCTTCCTAAGAGGGTCTCCTTCAAGTCAAGTTGAAGCCTCAAGTTAAGCTCACTTCAGTATTGCATAACGGTGGCAGTGCTGGCTCGGAGCCGCTGGTGGACGGTGCCTGGCGGACTCTGGAGGCCGCCGCGACTCTGGTGTTCAAATGCCACTTTCTTTCCAAGTTTTGCAATCCACCATGATCAGCTACCAACTGAAGACTAAACTACGAGCCGAGCTCCAAGCCTCCAGTCATTACGCCCACAGACTATCATGAAGGCCTCTGGTATAAGTCTCTTTATTTTTGCGACAATTCCTCAGGCTTCTGAGTCTGAACGGGATCAGCTCGTG